TCCCCCGGTGCCCCGGTGCCGTCCCCGCCCGGGCAGCGGCTCCCTGCCCGCCCCGGCCCCGCGCGATGGCGGCCGCTGCAGCACCGCCGGGAGCCGCCGGGGGCGCTGCGGCGCCGGGCGGCAGGGCGGCCCTGATTGGCTGCCGGCGCGGGTATATAAGGGCGGCGGAGGCGGTGCCCGGATCTCTTCCGCCGCCATTTTCTGCCGGGCGCAGGTCTCTGCTGTCTCCGCCGCTCGCCTGAGCACCCCCGCCGCCCTCACCCCGCCATGGAGGACGCGACCGAGATGAGCGGCGGCCAGGAGGAGTTCGCCGAGGGCTCCAAGATTAACGCGAGCAAGAACCAGCAGGACGACGGGTAAGGCCGGGAATGATATGGGGGGGGAGGGGAAGGGAGAGAATCGCGCCTCCGTCTCCTTTGCCCGCCCTGCGGCGCGGGGAGGGAGGGGGGAGGCGTCTCGGTCGCTGGAGGGTGCGGGGCCTTCCTTTCCCACCCCATGGCCGCGCCCGCCTTTGTGTCCCGGGCGGGTGACCCAGTTTCCGCGGGGCGGGGACGGGAGCGGGAGGGGGGGGGGGGGGGGGCCGGTCGGGGCCGTGACGTCACCGGCAGCCTATGGGGGCGCGGGGCGGCCCCGGCGCTCCCTCCGCGCTCCCTGCGCCCGCTCCCGCATCCCGACGTACTTCCTGCCCTTCAGGAAAATGTTCATCGGAGGCCTCAGCTGGGACACCAGCAAGAAGGACCTGACGGAGTACCTCTCTCGGTTCGGTGAGGTTGTGGATTGCACGATCAAAACAGACCCGGTCACTGGAAGGTCGAGGGGGTTTGGCTTCGTGCTCTTCAAGGATGCTGCCAGCGTGGAGAAGGTGAGTGGGTTTCCTGGGGATCGATGGCGTGAAGCTGGCTTGTGTTATGGTGCGGGTCTGAGACTTTGTTTCCTTTTTTGCTTTTTTAGGTGTTGGAACTGAAAGAACACAAACTGGATGGGAAGTTAATAGATCCTAAAAGGGCAAAAGCCCTAAAAGGGAAGGAGCCACCAAAAAAAGTGTTTGTTGGTGGGCTGAGTCCAGATACATCTGAAGAACAGATTAAGGAGTACTTTGGTGCTTTTGGCGAGGTATAGTATAATGGCATATAACAACAGCTCTGGTTTCCAAGTGCAGTTTTAGCTCTGTCTTAAGACGGAAGAATTTGTGAGGAGAGAGTTGGCTCAGGATCATACAATGCTAGAGATTGTTGAATCTTTATGTTAATGATTCTGTAGTGTTGTGATGGTCTGATTTATAGCTGCCAAAAGTAGTCAGCATAGATGCTACACTTCCAAATGGTTCTGGGGGCATAAAAAGTTGCTCAGAGATTTCATGCATTGTTTATATGTGTTTCAATTTCAGATCGAAAATATTGAACTTCCTATGGACACAAAGACGAATGAAAGGAGGGGCTTCTGTTTTATCACATATACAGATGAAGAGCCAGTAAAGAAGTTACTAGAAAGCAGATACCATCAGATTGGTTCAGGCAAGGTATGAAAGCTCTCCTTTTTAGCATATGAAATAGATTATTTCCGTAGGCATCCGTGAAAGCAGCTCACAGAATGCTCTTGAAATTCTTGATGAGTTAAAGCATTTCTGTCCTTACAGTGTGAGATCAAAGTAGCACAGCCCAAGGAGGTATACAGGCAACAGCAGCAGCAGCAGAAAGGAGGGAAAAGCAATACTTCTGGTGGACGTGGAGGCGGAAGAGGGCGTGGACGGGGTGAGTGTTTTCAATGGTTAAACAAATATAAGTACTTGGATGTCTGTAGATACACCAGGTTTCAGGCTCTATGCTGATCTTGTTTCTAAACCGAATGAGTAAAGTAGCCTGTTAAATGGTATTTTGGTGGTTGTGATTGCTTGTGGAAGCTTAGGAGTGTGTTCTTGCTCTGCTTGCCTTCGAGTGGCGAAGTGGCGGGCTGGGTGTAGGGTTCTTTTGCACACCCACAGTGGATAGTGTAGCCAGTGCAGTTAACCCTTTCACATGAAGGGAATGCGCTCTTGGTGGGCTCATAGGTGAGAAACCAAGAGCTGTTTGCTGAAGAGGATGGCAGTCACTTTGCTACACTTTGCAAATAGATCAGAAGCAATCAGCTGTTACATTACAGGTTAATGCATTTCAGTCTTCAAGTTAGTGCAACAAACACAACACAGTAAGGCTGATCTTGTGAAACAATTTGGTGCTCAGGCAATTCCTGACCCAAAACAGCAGTTAAAGGAAAACAGCAGGAGCTGCTGTAACACGTGCCTTTGGTATTGTGTTGTTTTGCTTTTCCTGGCTGTTTTATGAGCAGCATGACCTGCTGTCTATCTATAATGCTGTGTGTTTTAAGATCTTAAGTCACATCTCTTGTATCCAAATGAGATACCTCAATTCTTTTTTGAACATGATTGTTATTAGGGAGGTAAGAGGATTCTTCAGGTAATAGGTCTGCTATAGAAAGATTGCCATTGGAAGTTAAATGAAGTGACATAAAAGAGAAATAGGTTCTGTAACTTACACTTGCTATACTTGGTTTCAGGTCAGGGACAAAACTGGAATCAAGGGTTTAATAACTATTACGATCAAGGATATGGAAATTACAATAGCGCTTATAGCGATCAAAGCTACAGTGGCTATGGAGGATATGATTACTCTGGATACAACTATCCCAACTATGGATATGGGCCGGGATACACAGATTACAGTGGTAAGTGGATTTGATCTCATTCCCAATAACAAGAACGTGCATCTTTGAACAAGGGCCTCTTCTAGTAAGTTGCTCTGTAAAATCTCTTTCGGCACGTGACTCTAAAGATGAGATCTCTTGGTGTGCTGTATGTGAAGTCCCCTTCAGAGGTTGGGTGTTAATGCTTCTGGGTTTTGTTTTTTTTCCTCTCGTGTTACGTACAGGCCAGCAAAGCACATACGGAAAGGCGTCCCGTGGCGGCGGCAACCACCAAAACAACTACCAGCCGTACTAAAGCAGTACCTAGTACTTGAGCAAACAGGTGTGTACTTGAGTGCAAGGTCCACTCTGAGTATGTCTAATCTAATTTAAAGATCAATAGACAAACGAAGAGTAAAAACTTGCGTAGCATGACTTTTCCTTTAATTAAGCTTTTGTTAACTTAAAAAAATAATTTATTTTTTTTTTTTTTTAAAACCAGCTTTGCCTACGTGTCTATAGATCTTTAACTTTGTAAAAACGTGACTTTATCTTCTTTAGTACTTCAGAAAAACATAAGAGTTTTTCTGGTTTGCGTTGTGTACCAGGTGATCTAGAGGAATAATTAAACTTATTAGAAGTATTAACAGGTAAAGTACTGAAATGGGTACAACTTAAGGAAAACAAGAATGTTGTCTTCTAACTCTGACATTATACCTTGTTTGTACCCGCCAGCGGGAACTTCATTGCAGGCCGTGTGTCACCCTGACCACGTCTATCTCTGGGGTCGCACGTTGCAGGCAGAGCGCAAGGCATACACCAGAAAACGCTGTCCTGTGGTATGGTCTCTTCCAACTTCATGTACCAGCGTAAAGATTAAAGTGGAAAACTTCAGACTTTGGCTTCTTTTTTTAATCTTTTTTGGAGATTAAGTGTCTTTAACTTAAATGGTTTTTTACAGGAGTTAAAGTACATAAATGCCTTTACAGCTTAATCATTTGGTCTTCTGTTTAGTGTTGTATTTCAATTGTGGAACCTCATTTTAAATGTGCATTCTTTAAGATTTTAATGCTTGCTTTTTTCTTTTTATAGCTAATAGTGAAATCTGCAAACCAAAACGAACTTTTAAATCTGGAAAAACATTAAGGATCATATGCATATGAACTGTCTGAACTAAATTGACTTGACTTGTGTTGCACATAAGTCATATAGATGTATAAACAAATAATTAGAAACCCTTTTGGCAGTGTTTCCAGTGGGGAAAAAAGCCTGATCCAGAGCCCACCTATTATATTAGTCTAAATCAGTTGTTTTTGGAACAGCTTCCTAAATGGGCTGAATGGCAATATATGGGAAGATAAATTACTGAGGGGTAAGAAAACCTCTTGTGTTACCTTAATAAATATGCATATGATCCTTGAAAGTGAAGAAAGGAATATATAGAAGACTTAAAGCAGTTCATGAAAATGGACCTTTTAACAATTCTGTAGTAACTGTCACAGATCTGATATGCATTTTGTCTTTGATTTTTTTAGGTAGAGGTACTGCAGCAAAAAAGCCATCTCGCAGCGCATCGTGAGTGAATGGAGGGTGATCTTCGTGAGAGGAAATGACTATTTTGTAAAAGACTTTTAGTGAACGACACGCCTGTGTCCAACTGTACATAGCGGCCGACTAGTTTTCTTTTATGGTTTTTACTTTCTTTTTGCCATTCATGTTATGACACAATGTGGACTTGTGTTTATACAAACTTTATTTGTATAATTTCATGTTAAAGGATTCTCTAATAAATGCTTACTTAAGTGAGTGTGTAGTCTTGCTGTCACCTTACAGTGGTGTAAGTGTAGTATTGTAGAGGAGGGCGTGCACCTTTTGGAGATCTGGGTTACTGTGTATACAGGTCAATACAACCCATGATTTTTCCTGACCTGTCTTGAGAGAGCACCACCATGCTTGGAGTCAGCATCAGTGGATGATGGAAGAGTTGTCTCTTGCCACGTGCAGAAGAGTGGAGAAAGTGGTCTGTGTTACAATGCTGCCAGTTTTGTACATCTCAAGGGATCTAGAACTACAGCAGCACCTTTGTAATGCTGATAGCTCAGGCACTGCTTAAGGGATAAGAGGGGTGGAGCCTTCAAGGTTTTTCAAGCACTTAAAACCTCAACTATTCTAGAATGTAGCTTAATTACTTTCCTAGAGTAATCACTGCCTATCTATTCCAATTGCAGGAAGGAGATTACAAGTTCTTGAATTTAAGGGTCAACAACTTTTCTGTACAACTTGGGATCTACAAGTTAGGTCCTGTACTGGACTCTTCTCACCTGAAGAATCCAGAAAACAGGTTTACCATCTTGTGCATCCTAGCAAAATAAAAGATTGAGTGAATGATTGGTGGAGCAGGGAAACAGGCATTACACCCAGCAGGTTCTTTTCTTATTAGGAAAAGTGGTGAAATGGGTAAGGGAGCATACACCTCCATGCAGCCAAAGGCTTGCAGCAGTCTGCCTGAAGTTTTGGTTTTTACTCAGTGTGTACCTAGTCAAGTATCAAAAAATAAACTTGGTTTGTTGAGGTAAAACGTGAGTAGCTAATTCACAGAGGTCTTGTAGATTTTAAAAGGGAGTAGTCTGGGTAGAGATTTTTCCCTGAAAGTTTCCAAACCATAATTTCAATGTTTACTTCTCTCTGAAGTAGCTGGCTGTTTTAATTTCTTCTATCGTAGAGAAGAGCTGCTTCCCATAACTGCTGGGGGTTGTACAGTTGCTGGATCCGGGAGGCTCCTGTCATCTTAGCAATTAGGTTGGATGGGAGAAGGCTCACTGATGTCACTGGTGACAAACTAAAAAAAACCCAGCACATGACTGCTGGGAGAAACCACAGCTGCGTGTGACTGTGTGCATACACAGACTTTTTGGGAGTGCAGCTGGATGCAGAAGTTATCCTTCAGCAGTGCCCTGGTGGGGCTGAAGGTGACTTGTGCCACCAGCACATGGCTTTGCTGCTACATTGGTTAATATACAACCCCCCACTTTTTACGTTTTCTTTCAAAATTGTGATCCTTCCCCTCTACACAGCCCTAGTGAGGACACATCTGGAGTGCTGTGTCCAGTTCTGGGCTCCTCAGTACAAGAAAGCGCAAGGACCTGCTGGAGAGGGTCCAGCAGAGCGTTACGAAGATGATGAGGGGTCTGGAGCATCTCTCTTATGAGTAGAGACTGCAGGAACTGGGCCTGTTCAGCGTGGAGAAGACTGAGAGGGGATCTCATCAATACATACAAATATCTCAAAGGCAGGTGCCAAGAAGATGGTGCCAGGCTCTTTTCAGTGGTGCCCACCGATAGGACGAGGAGCAATGGCCATAAACTAAACCGCAAGAAGTTTCACCTCAACACGTGCAAGTCCTTTACACCGAGGGTGGCAGAGCAGTGGAACAGGCTGCCAAGGCAGGTCGTGGAGTCTCCCTCTCTGGAGACATTCCAAACGGACCTGGACGCGTTCCTGTGTCACCTGCTCCAGGTGACCCTGCCTTGTCAGGGGGGTTGGAATGGGTGATCTCCAGAGGTCCCTTCCAACCCTACCGGCTCCGTGATTCCGTGGCCCCCTCAGGCCCTGGATGCTCCCGGGCTGTCCACGACCGCCCCCCCCCCCCCCCCCTCCCTCCCGGCCCCCCGGGGGCGGTGTCACGTGTCCCGCCCGCCGCGCTCCTTCCGGCCGCCATTTTAGGTTGGGTCGGTGGCGGCGCCATTAAAAACAGGGAGCAGGAGGAGGAGGGATCGGCGCGCTCGGCCGGGGCCGCCAGCGGCGCCGGGGCCTCGGCGGGGAGGCGGCGGCACCGCGGGTGTCCGGTCCGGTCCGTTGCGGGGCGGCGGCGGCGGCGCCATGTCGGACCAGCAGTTCGCTCTGGACTCGGCGGCGGTGACGGCGGGCTCCGGGGACAGCGCGGCAGAGCCGGCGGAGCAGCCTGAGGGGCAGGCGGGGGCGGGAGGCGCCGATGGGGGAGGCGGCGGCGGCGGGATCGAGTCCGAGGGAGCCAAGATCGACGCCAGCAAGAACGAAGAGGACGAGGGGTGAGCGGCGGGGGCGGATTTTGTGTCCCGGGCGGGGCCCGGCGCCCCCGGCCCGGCCTGGCCTGGCCCGGCCCGGCCCCGCTCGCCGCCCTGTTTGTTTACTTGGCGCCTCGGCGACGTCACGGGCCGGGCCAGGCGGGGGCGGTGTCTGGACCCGCGGTGTACAAATGATGTGATGTGTGCCGAACTACAAACCCCTTTTATTTTTTTTAGGATGATCTTTCTATAAGTTAGTGTGCGGTGCGCGCGACAAGGCCGTAACTCGGCGTAGCCGAATGCTGGAGTTGCAGTCGTAGCGTTGCCCTGTGCTGCAAGCACAGACGGTGTGTCAGTGAGAGGCATGAGGGACCTGGGCTTCTTCCCAACCTAAACCATCCGTCTGCTACTCGCGGAACTTGCTGTGAGGAAGATTGCATTAGGTGATGTCTGAACTCGAGGAAATGGGATGAAGCTGTGTCAGGGGAGGTTCAGGCTGGATATCAGGAAAAGGTTCTTCACCCAGAGGGTGGTTGGGCACTGGAACAGGCTCCCCAGGGAAATGGTCACAGCACCAAGCCTGACAGAGTTCAAGAATTGTTTGGACAATACTCTTGGGCACATAGTGTGGTTCTTGGGGTGTCCTGCACAGGGCTAGGGGTTAGACTCGATAATCCTGATGGGTCCCTTCCAACTCAATATATTCTATGATTTTAGGAAGAATAAAGGCAGCTTTTAATCTTCCGAGGGTATCTGCCTGACGCTTGGTATGGGGCAGTGTCACTTCAGTATTGCTGATGAAATTCACTGTAAAAAACCAAGTGGCAGGACAGGCTGATGCTCTGTGCTGTCTCCTGTCAGACCCATAAGAACTCGGGCTGCAGGTCTGGTTTTGGTCAAGGCAGAAAATAAACTGGATAAAGGAGCACTGGCTATGTTGTCCTGTGGATACCTGCTGCGAAACCTTTCTGAGTGTCTTTCTCTTGTAATAACCTGGGATGTTGCAGAGAACGATGTTAATAACCTGGGATGTAATAATCTGGGATGTTGCAGGGAGAGAGGAGGAATCTTTTTCTGAGTGTTCTCATAGGATTAGCAAAGCTTAGAATGTTTTTGTTACTTCTCACCTGCTCTTAGTGGCTTTAAATACCCTTGCAGTTTGCATGTTTGTTTTACTTTTTGCCCTTGAATACACACCTCTTAAAGGGTTTTCAGAAGGAAGCTCATCTTCTTTGGAGACAATACAGCTTAGAAAAAGTTGTTACTGAGGGGTGCAGTGACACTGGGCAGTGATTACATATATTATATGTTGGCCTGTAGTTTAGTTCAGTCTTCTTATTTAATCTGTCAATTTTTATGGGTCATGCTGTACAGGAAACAAAGTGTTTTGGCAGCTTTCTTGGTAGTAGAGGGAAAACAGCAGATCTGTGATATCTTTGCTCTGTTTAGCTGAGTATGAAGTTTGAAAGCATATTTTGGAAAACTATGTGCTGATGTGACTTGCATACATTTCCTAACCCATGGATTGGCTGGTGTATTTTACAAGCTTTTGACACCGCTGTGGCATTGCTCCTGGATTGCTTTTTGTGCTAGTGGTTGTGTTGTAGCCTTGACCTGACCTCAAGTTTTGCAGTGAAGCAGTGGTTTGTCAGCTCACTGTAGTGGCAGGATGGAGCAGCCGTGGTTTGCTGCTGTGTGAGTGGACTCCCAAGTTGCAGTTGCTGCTGGAGGGAAGAAGAGCCTTCAGAGGGCTGTTGCAAACTCATGTTCTTGCTTTCTCTGTACTTAGTGGTATAAAGCAGGCTTTGTATGTTAATATTGATGGTTTGTTGACAACTATAAAGCAGGTTTTGTGTGTTTAATGGTTTGTTGGTAGCTGTGAAACAGGTGGCTTGTACCTAGCAAGTGTAAGTTCAGTAGTAACTGCTAGATATCCTCCATGTGTCAGAAAAACGCTGCATCCTCTCTGTGTTCTGTTTGGGTGATTAAAAAACTGCACAAAACAGCAAACAAACTAAGAACCTTAACGATGGACGAACACAAGAACAGAAAACATCCTTTGATTTACTGCCCGTGCTGGTATGAAGCTGCTGGTTTACCAATGTGGAGCATTTTATCAATATTCATAGAACCACAGAATCTTAAGAGGTTGGAATGGACCTTAAACCCTCCCAGCCAGTCCCAACATCCCCTGCCATGGGCAGGGACACCTCCCACTAGACGAGATTGCTCAAGGCCTTATCCACCCTGGCCTTGTACACTGCCACGGTTGAGGCATCCACAGCCTCCCTGGGCAACCTGTGCCAGTGTCTCACCACCCTCATAGCAAAGAATTCCTTCCTAATATCTAATCTAAATTTCCTCTCTTTCAGTTCTACCCATTACTCCTTGTTTTATCACCACAGTTCCTGATGAAGAGTCCCTCTCTGGCTTCCCTGTAGACCCCCTTCAGATACTTGGAAGGTTGCTGTGAGGTCTTCATGCAAACTTCTCCAGGCTGAACAGCCCCAGCTTTCTCAGCCTGTTTTCAGAGGGGAGGTGCCCCAGTCCTCTTATCAAGTTTATGGCCTCCTCTGGACTTGCTCCAACAGTTCCATGTCCTTATGCTGGGGGAACCAGAAGGAGATGAATATAGATTAGTCCTGAAGACAAGTAGTCACACTAGATAGAAAGGGATTTTGGTGCTTTGTAGAAGAGACATCTGGAACTAGTGGTAAAAGTGGATAAAGGTAGTGGGGAATTGGTGCTCCTGCTTAAAGGTTTCAAGACCTTTTATAGAAACATCTGAAGCTCATGAACCCCCTCATTTCTGTGGAGGTTGGATATGTTTGTCAGAAAGTGAATGCTCTTGTTAATTCTGTGATGACAGCAGAGCTAATTCAACAGTTAGTTCAGAGGAGCAGCTTTTGATTTGAGAGAGTTTGACTTGTGGAGGTACATGCAATTTACATGATTGGCAGGAATATTTGTATGGGTGTGGAAAGTGGAGGAGTTGAAGACATGATACAGTGTTTTTTCAGGTTTTCTGATAAGTGTGTGTTGAATTGTGGGATAAGTTGATACCGTGAAAATGGACAAAGCTTTGTAGGAAACATTTATAGATCATAAGGGATCATACCTTTTTGTTTGGAGCCTGCTGTAAAATCTTCTTTATCAGTATTAGAGGAGATCATCTCAAATCCTCTCTTGAATGGCTGCCTAAGCCCTATGCCTAATGACTATGACTATGAATGATTCATCTGTGTGCATACTGGCTTGGTTTTTTTTGTCTTTCCTTTTGTTTTGTGTCTTACTGATGTGGTGGGACGGTCATGAATCGATTCTAAGCTTCCAGTGTGCTTTTGAAAATACAAGTCGTGATCAGAATTATGTGCTGCACACATTTACCCAGCAGCACTCGTCCCTTAGGAATATTGGGAAGACATTAGTTTGATTGTATTGGATTATGCCTGTTGTTTATATCATGTTTTTGTGAGGAAAGATAAACTTTGACCATCCAATACTTTACTTTTTTTTACTGCTTTCTGGGGAAGGCAACTTGACTAAACTTTATTTTAGTTTACTAGTATGGGCTTGTGTCCAGTCCAGCCTAGTACATAAATGCCTCTGTTTAAGTGCACTGCTGTATAAACCTAATCTTCCCATGTGGGTTTCTTGAGCAGTTGTGTGGAGGCTCCACAGATAACTAAATGGAATTTAGTCTGTGGTGGGGGTGCAAGGAGGTAGTAAAATACCTTTTTGTCACTACTGGTAGTTTCCTGGGGTAGCAGAGTAAGCAACTGCAGCAGAAGATGGTGCAAAACTTTTGTTTACATGTAAGTCTTTATCTAACCTGACCAGAACCATTAAAGCAAGTTGTCAAAAAGTGCAGGCCTGCGTGTGCGGTGTCATCACTGATAAAATGCTGCCAGTTCCATGCATTAGGTAACTGAGCTCATGCAACTTGACAGTACAGGATTTTGGGTAACACACATTAACAGATTAAACCATCTTGTCTTAACAGGAAAATGTTTATTGGCGGCCTCAGCTGGGACACCACCAAGAAAGATCTGAAGGACTATTTCTCCAAATTTGGCGAAGTTGTAGACTGTACTCTGAAGTTAGATCCCATCACTGGGCGATCAAGAGGCTTCGGCTTTGTGCTCTTCAAAGAATCAGAGAGCGTAGATAAGGTAGTATTGGTGTAATGAAACATGTTCACATTTGGGTATGGGAGATGAAGCACTCACATGATTGTCTGCATTGTTGTTTGTACGTGTTCTGCTAAAGATGATTCAGGGACACAACATATTTAAACTACTTGTTAAAATGCTTATTTTTCTGAACCATCTTACTCATGATGCAGTGTTCAGGACCAGCAGTGATTGCTAAGGTGTGGATTTGAGCACTTATGTGGGAATATGCTGCAAGCCACTGGACTTGAGCACTTGAAAAACACTGTATATAAATGTCTGTTGCCTACTGAAACCAGTAATTTGCAAAGAACTTCAAGCCTTTGCATTCCAGAGGTGCAACGTGGACCCCTAGAGTAGAGCCAATAGCTTTGATACACTTGGGCTCTATCCAAGCAAAAATTAGCTGTTAACTTTTCTAAAATGCTGTGGATACAGCACACGGAAAAGTTTTCACCTTCGTTGACCTTTGGTGATATCTAAAGTGCAGATTCTTTACTTCTTAAAGTTTGAGGATGAGATTGTAGGGTACTTTCGGAGAAATGTTATGCTCTTACTTCCCTTGGATAATACATGACCCCAGGTGGCTCTTGAAAAGCTTTGTCAGAACTGTGTCAGTGGACAGTGATCAAAATCACAGAATTCTTTTTTTTTTTTGTGCAGCAAATTATTGCTGTAATCAAAGTATCAAAACTGAAGCAAATTTGACCTTGCTCAAAACATAAGTGAAACATTTAGTTTGAACTGCTTAAGATTGTGTTTTAATTTTTCTCAGGTCATGGACCAGAAAGAACACAAGCTGAATGGAAAAGTCATTGATCCAAAAAGAGCTAAAGCCATGAAAACAAAAGAACCTGTTAAGAAGATTTTTGTTGGGGGCTTATCTCCAGACACACCTGAGGAGAAAATACGGGAATATTTTGGAGGTTTTGGTGAGGTATGTGGTGAAACAATCTGCTTATGCTTGTGGAACTGTTCTGTCTTCACAAATTTAGTAATAAAAAGCATCCCCCAAATGCAACCTGCGTGGATGCTACTGTAAGCTTAGTGGCCAGTATAGCTCCATCTGTCTTAGTAGTCAGAATTTTAATGACAATAGTATTAATTACAGGTTTTGAGTTGCACAGGCTGGGTCATGGAAGGAGGAGCTGGGATGAGTCAGAAAGGGAGGCAACACTTTTGAGATGGTGTTTTGGTCAGTTGGATGAGATGATCTTAAGTCACCTCAGCTCATCTTCTGTGGCACAGATTGAAGCAGTTTGCCTAAATTCTGTGCAACTATGTAGTCTCTTGTCTCTCTCTATCCCCAGTTTTTGGTGGTGCAGGTGAACAGAACTGTGCACTTGCACAAAGCTACATCTTTTTCATATAAAACTTCAAGGTTTATGTCTCCTCGGAGTTTGGAATATTTAGTCACTTCAGTCTTAACCAAGTTAAAACTGAAAGTCAAATTAAGACTGTTTATCCAGCATAACTAAAATATTCTTTGTGCACCATATTTTGTCTGAGTACCTGAATGGACAAATGATACTAGAAGTTAGAGGGAAAAATCTTTTCACACTTATTAACACTATTGTTAGTGAGGGTGATGTTTTAGATGGTTTTGAGTGATATAAAGCCCTATGAAGGAGACACATTGTCGTATTCAAGGCTAAATAATTTCAGTTAACAAATATGACCTCTTAGAAGGATTTTGAAGTGACATGCATGGCAGGATAAAAGATAAAATCACTGTCTTCTTCACCAGGTGGAATCGATAGAGCTCCCCATGGACAACAAAACTAACAAGAGGCGTGGATTTTGCTTCATTACTTTCAAGGAGGAGGAACCAGTGAAGAAAATAATGGAAAAGAAATACCACAATGTTGGGCTTAGTAAAGTAGGTGAAGTTTTTCTTAGAGAAACTGAACATTGACAATAGAGAGAATTACATTATCAGTTGCATCTGTTTGGGGATAAGAGTCTGCAAGTGGCTGTAAGCATTATTTCTCACATGTAACATTAGGCTTATGAAGTATTTATATAGGTGCTAGGAACAGGTGACTGTAGCCTTAACTTCTGAGCTGAGGGGATTTCAGGTGGGGTTTTGTAGAGCACATTTGTTCATTGTGCAGCTCCCACATGCTCCAGCTGTGTGGGCAGAGTGCTGTATCATGGATCTGCTGTATCAGGTGGCACCATGTTTTCCTGGTAGCTGGATCTCTGTGTGTTTGATACTGAAATGTCAGTTTGTCTCAGAAAGCTTCAAAAACTGAACTGAAGTGGGAAGTTAGGCTTTCCTGTTGGAAGTTGCTTTTCTTTCAGAAACCTGGTTGAAATTCAGCCTGGCAACAAATACTCAAGTTGTAGCTGGACTATTCTTATTTGGTTGAATATGTAGTGGAAGCTTCTGAACAGAGCTGAGTTGAGTTCAGTATGTTGACTTTTGTAACTCAGGCTTGTAGACCTCACAGGTTTAGTTCAAAGGGAAAACAGAAAGGCATACAAAGAAACAAGCATTCTTTTCAGAATTGGTTTTACTGTGTCTTACAGTTTTTTTCAAGTTAGACAGTGTAAGCTATCCATCTTTTTTTTCAGGGAGAGCAGATCCTATGTTCTGCTAAGTGTTCTGTAAGTTTAAGACTGGTGTTTGGGGGTTATCTTTGCTAATTGGATCTGACTTTACTTTCCGTTTCCAGTGTGAAATAAAAGTAGCCATGTCAAAGGAACAGTACCAGCAGCAGCAGCAGTGGGGGAGTCGGGGAGGATTTGTTGGAAGAGCCCGAGGAAGAGGTGGAGGTAAGCTTGTACTGCTGTAGTGTTGGAAGGTGAGGGACTTGCTTGAATGAAAACAGCACTGCAGCTCTGAGTTTTGTGTTACAGGCCCCAGTCAAAACTGGAACCAGGGATACAGCAACTACTGGAATCAGGGGTATGGGAATTATGGCTACAACAGCCAAGGGTATGGAGGTTATGGAGGATATGACTACACTGGTTACAACAACTACTATGGATATGGTGACTATAGCAGTAAGTACTGAACTTCTTATAAAAAG